CACATTCATCCCTGACACATCCCTTTTGGGCAGGCGGCTGACAAAGTTTCCTAATGTCACTTTCCCATTTAAAAAAAGTTTGTCATGGACATTTTGAAACGTACATAAATAAGAAATTAGTAAAATTAATCACTAAATAATGAAAGTAAAAATAATAATGAGCTTAATAAAATAGGAAAATAGTGAAAAAATGGGGAAAACCAGCTGATGTATAGTAACAGTATAACATATGGTAAACGCAGCAGCGTGGACCTTCGTGAACCCATCACAGAGCAAATCGGAGCAACGGGTTGTTCACCCCCACATTACGCTTCTAATAAAGCAGGGACTAATTCAGAGGGCGTGGTCCCTGAACTTGGCGGCTTGAATCTGAGGCTCCGGGACATTGGCTGCAGAGCTGATGCCGGCGCATGAGTCACTAGGGCTGCAGGGCTGTGGGGAGGAGGGTGGAGCAGAGGGAGGGTGGGGAGCGAAGGCAGTTTTCCTGGAGGCACAGGTGAGGGGAGCAGAAGGTGCAGCCTGCAGGGCAGGCTTGAGAAGTGTGGTCCCCGGTCCCCACGGGGGTGGAGGTGAGTGCTGGCCTGGGAGAGCCTCTGAGCCGAGGGCTTGAGTGCGGGCGGGGTGGGAGGTCTGCCTTCCCCAGTTTAAACGCAGCACACCACACCCGAGGGGTTTTGAGCTCCGGGAGGGGCCTGACCAACGGGCAGCTTTGAGAAAATTAAGGACGCGCGTGTGGATTGAACTCTGGGAGTAACCAGGAAGGCCTGGCAAGTTCTGTGGGTTTGGAAAGAAATGGTTAGCAAGGCCGGAGACAGCGTTTTGTAGCTGTGCCTCCCAGAGCCTTCCCCAGGGTGGGCGGGTCACTCGGTTCTCTGCCCAGGCGCTGCGGGAGGTGGCGGGGCAGCCTGACTCTGAGCCCTCACCCTGAGCATACCTGGTCCAGGAGGGGCCCTGAGGAGGCGTCCGCCAGGTGCGGCCCTGCCCTCTTTCTTCGCTGTAAGATAACGTCCTCATCATAAGGTGAGGGTTGGAGTCTGCGCTCCCCGCGAACGCGCTGGTGGGTGCCAGGACCGCGAACAGCGATGGTCCCCCACCGCCCGTGGGGAAAGTTGTCCTTCGGGGCTTCTCACGGGGCGCTGAGCACACGGGGCACTGAGCACACGGGACAAAAGCTCCCCGGTCCTGAGGAAGAGAGTGGATGAAGGCACCGACGTCCTGTGACCCAGGCTTCTGGTCCTCGGGACTCGGACATCAGTGCCTGGGCTCCGGCTGGTAAGGGCAGTGCCGTCGGGTCTGCAGTGAGGGCTTACCGCGCCCTTGAATGGACCTCAGTGAGGGTATCTCTGGGCTTTTTGAAGGGCGGCAGAACTCTTTATGTGACAGCTAGCCAGGTTTTTGTCTCCGCCGGCTCAGGGTAATAATTACGTCCCCCATCCATAACAAAACAAAATCGCCCCAGTGGTGTCTGTGACCCACTCCCCGCTGCCCACCCCGAGGCACTGCGTCTGCCCCAGTGAGGACTCGAAGGCTCTGATCACTCTTTTTGCTTGTCTTCAGTTCTACCTGGGCTCCGGGGAGGCTCTCTGAGTGCCCTGTGGGGGCCTCCGCTGAGCTGTGGGCCACCACTGTCCCAGCCCCGCGTGACAGCCGTCCCACCCGGACTTCACCCAGCTCCCCTGTCAAGGATCCGTCTGTGCGGGGCTTCCAGGGCTGTGGGCTCCCCTGGCGTCGCTCCTCTGCCGGGTCCGCCTGCTCACACCCCAGCACCCGCTCTTCCAGCGGCCTCTCCTAAACTGGTTTTCAGAGATACAGCATCACTGCTTCCATTTCTGTCATCAGCAGCCAGAGTCGTCCTTCTAAATCGGGAATCTTCTGTGGCTCCCCATGGGGCCAGGGCCAAGACTAGCCCTTCACCATCCCGTCCTGGCCCCTGCTCACCCACCCTCCGGCTCCTCCTGTGCTCGGCCCCCGTCCTCCCAGGCATGCATGCCCGCTCTGCCTGGCGACGGCCCTGCCCTGTAGGACGCTGGAGCACTTCACCTCCCTGGGGCAGCTGGAGGGCTTGTGGACCCTCGGTGTCACAGCGGGAGCAGGGCTGTGCAGTGACCTCGTAATTGTTTCCGTCTCGACTTTTGGGGGCAAAAAAAGCCCTCCACTAGACACTTCGCCCTGGTTGTGAGCGGGAGTCTGCGATACTCACAAGGGGGGTGGGGCAGCAGGTGCGGCCCCTCTTTCACTGGGGTCTCTTGAAGTTCGGCCAGGATGCACTGCCCTGGAGAACCCCCGGGGTCCTTTCTCCCGCCCCGCTGCTGGGATCTGTGAATCCATATCAGGAGCGTGGGTGGGTTGCAGGGGATGTGGGGTTAGTGCAGCAGGGGACCCAGAGCACTGTCCCTCATCCCAAGCCGTCCGGAGCAGCCTGGCCTGGTTGGGGAGACAGCAGGGGGTGGTCAGGTTCCACAGCGAACTGGCATCTCAGGTAGGAATTGTCATTCATGTGAAAGTCACCCAGCAAACACAGCTTCTGGGCTCAAGGCCGCCCTGACGCGCCATTCCCCCACCGCCCCCAGAGACCCACATTTTCTGTGTTGATTCCGTCCAGAAAGTGAGGCTGAGTCTTCCAGGTCCAGGGTGTTTTCCTGTCCTCTCGTCTCAATACCGTGCACGCTGCTCTGGCTCCCTTGTGAAGCCAGCTGCTCCAGGCTGGCTTCAGCTTGCATTCCATGCCCCAGGGGCTTTCTCACGGGGCCCCCATACAGGCCGCAGGTCAGGGCAGAGCTGTCTCCAGTCCAGCCCCGACAGAGCCGTGTGGCCGCCGCTGCTCATGGGGACTGTGTCCCCAACAGGGGGTGGACTGTGGGACAGGGAGCCACGGTCACTGCGCAGGGAGCCAGAGGCAGAGCCCAGCAGTGCCTTGCAATCTCAGCCGCCTTGTGCACCCAGCCGGGGTGGGTGCCATGCTCTCCGGGAGGTCCAGGTTCCCGTGTACGGCTCTGCAGGGAAGACCCAGGCAGGAGAGGGAGTCCCAGGATGCAGTCATATCAGTCGTAACCTCGTGGGGGGAGAACAGAAGCCATCTGCGCTTCCACGGATGGGGAAAACCTCCCAGGTGCCACCCCCATCCTTCCAATGATGCATGTGCACGCGTGAGTGCTGATATAGGGGTCGTAAATCAAAAGTGGGGAGGCTCCGACGGACTAGGAACTAGGGTCGGAGGTGGGGGAGGCAGTGGGGCTGGGCTCAGGTTGGGCATTTTTTTAAGGGATGTGTCACCCCCAGGACAGCAGCTTTGCTCCCTCCCCAGAGAGGTGGTCACTGTTGTCCGCCTTCCTGTGCACGTGGGTCCAGCCAGGCTCTCAGGACGCCAAGGCCCCTACCTCCCCCTCTGCCCACTTCTCACACAATGAGAGGAGCAAAGCCCTCTGGTGTCTCCTCTTGTGAGGATGCTGGTCCCATCTGCCTGTCTAAGCTCATCACCTCCCGAAGGCCTCGTCTCCAAACACCCCGCAAGGGCTGTTAGAGCTTCCTCATGTGAATTTGGAGGGAGACGCGTTCAGTCCATAACCCGGGCCTTCTCTCCAAGGTGCAAGAATGTGGCAATCTGTGGCCTTGGGATGAGCCAGAATCCTCCTTCGAGCCGCTGCCAACGGGTCGCTTAGAGTCAGGACTAGGGCTGCGGCTGCCCGGCTGTGGGGGCGCCAGTCCCTGAGCCCCGCCCCCTGTTCCCAGTGCTGGGCTGGCTTACTTGTGCTTGAGACAAACCAGATCGGGGCCGTGCTCTCACCGCCCCACGTCGCAAAGACGAGAACTGATCCTGTGTTAAGTATTTAACTGGGGGCCATAGAGTGTGGACAGATGCACGGCTGCTGCAGGCAGAGCCGGGGGCGGGCTGCAGCATCCCACCGCAGGAGCGCTGCAGGGAGCAGTGCTGGGGCCTCCGGGTCCCTTTGACTAGTGAGGGCAACACACCTGGGTCAGAAGCCGCACTTCCAGCCGTCTTTGGACAGAGCAGTAGAGGAACGAGGGACTGGGAGCAGGTCACACGCAGCCAGCTGTATGGGAGGGAAATTGACGTGTTCCGGTTGCCTTTGCTCCGAGCGCTGTGGGCCGGCTGTGGGCAGCTGGAGTGATGCCTGCCATGGGCTGCTCTGAGAGCCTGCGAAGCTCGCTGCTCCAGTGTTGACTCCCGGCTGTTCCTGTCCTGTCCCTTGGTTGTGGTGAGAGGTCTGCCCAGGGCCAGTCACCTCGTTCATCTCCAGAACCAACCCCTAACACACCCCCTAAACTCCTGGGTGCCCTTTCCTAGGAAAAAACTGAGGCCTTAGTGAATCTGTGTTCCTCCCCCTTAAAGCTTTCTCTGGTGGCTTTGTAAACAGCACAGTGATTGAGTGAGTCTACCGTGGTTCCATCTGCAGAAGTCACACAAGGGTACCTTATGTACAAAAATGGCCGCGTGTGGTTTATTTTTGTCTACTTGGGGCCCGGGGAGGATTTAGGGAGCCTGTGGGCAGGGAGCAGACCCCTCCAGCCCAGTGCAGCGGAGCCGTGAGAGGCCACGGCTCACCTAGGGCCGGAGTCCCAGAGGTGGCTGTTCCTACCATGGGACCAGCCACCATCTGGGCAGATGGAGATTTATTTCCCCATCACTGAACCCTGGAACTAGCAGTGTGGACAGATCCTGTTTTGTCCTCCCCTTTGACTGTCATGAATGTGCTAGCCAGGTGCTCTGGCAAATTTCACAAACTCCACTGTGCCTCAAGCAGAGAGGGTGCAAACGACAGGCCAGGAAACACTGTGGGGGCTGTGTGCACCCAGAGCATGGAGGAGATGGGCACAAAGTGGCCGCAGAATCCAGGCAGTGGGCCTGGCTCTGCTCTCCTGGGCCAGGGACAGTGACATGGCCTCTGGGAGAAGGAGGCTTCCCGCTGGCCGTCAATGTACTGTTTAACCCATGTTTCACTTGCTCAAGGGAAATTCTTCTTTTCTTCCCCTGCTTTCAGGAAGAAGCACGTTGCAAAGCCGACACTGTGCAGCATGGTTGCCTGAGACAGAAGCCTCAGCAGCGGCTGGAGTAGCTGGAAGGAGGAATATGAAACCTTAGCAGGTCGCCTGGGAAGAGAGGTTGAAGATGGCAGCTCAGCGGATCCGAGCTGCCAACTCCAGCGGCCTCCCGCGGTGCAAGTCCGAGGGCACCTTGATCGACCTGAGCGAAGGGTTTTCAGAATCGAGCTTTAACGATGTGAAAGGTGAGCTCCTGGGCACAGGACGGGCTGAGGGCGAAGACGGGGTTTGCACGGGCTCTGAGACCCAGGGACCCTTCTGCTTCCAGGCTGCTAAGTTCACGCTCAGATAGTTCCATGTTAGCTCTCCGAACTTCACCGTGTTAGAAAGTCGGCCCCGAACAGTGACCACTTGTCGTGGTTTGGTCTTTTGATGTGTTTGGAGGTTGTTTTGAATTTTCCCTTTGTAATGAAACTCCTTAATGCAGAGTATGTTTTCTCTTTTTGTGCATTTTGGTGACAGGAAGCTAGGAGCTTGGTGGTACAGAAAACCAGGAGGGTGTGGTAAGTCGAGGAAATACTGAGAGTCCCTGGAGAATAAAAGGAGGGTCTAGAACAGGGGTCAGCAGGCTTTCTCTGTAGAAGATCAGATAGTAAATCCTTGAGTCCTGGCAGGCCGCATGGCCTCTGTCCAGCTCTTCAGCTCCACCATTGCGCCGAGAAAGCAGCCGTGGAGGAGAGTGGACAGACGGACGTGGCTGTGTTCCAGCGAAACTTTACAGAAACAGCCGGCTGGACTTGGCCCCGGGGGCCTTAGTTTGCCACCCCCTGGTGCAGAGGTTAATCGCTCTGAGTCTGAGCTTCCCTAACAGCCACGTACAACTGGGCTGATGAGAAAACCTAGCTTCTGGACACCGAGGTGGGTACCGGTGGGTCGTTTTCTTCCTGGAAGTCCACCCTGCCCTCACGAGCCGTGGCCAGCGCCTTCTGTGAGCTTCCTGGCATCCTGGGCCGCGTCTTTGTCCTCGTCCTCATCATCATCGGCTGACTCTCCCACCGCGTCCCCGGGTTCTGCTGAGATTATCCACTGGGCTCCCCAGAGACGGCTGAGCAGTGCCGTCTTTACTTTTACATCCTTAGCCCCCGGCACGATGTCGGAGCTGAATAAACATTTCTTGAACTGAACTGCCATCTCCCAGGTAAAATTGTGACGCTGCGCCCCAAGGAACTAAGAGTCGTGTACACGTTTCTCCCTTCCTTCTCTCTCCAGTTGTCCTCACGATCTTCCTCTTCCCGCCTGGCCTTTGTGCTTGCGGCCCTGAGCATTGCTTTAAATGTTCTTTTAAAGAGAAGGCTAGCAATGCGATCATGAGATTTTTATTACTAAGAGCAGCAGACCTGTTAGGCGTTGCTGTAAATAACCCAGCCATTTATTGTTCATAGTCCAAGATGGACCTTGTTTTCTCACTGTATAACCCAGCTTTCGTGGTGAAAGCCGGAAACTAGAGGCGTCGGTTGTGGGGTTTGGGCTGGGATTTTGAAACGAGGGGCAGAGAGCTGAATTTTGAACAATAATGATAATGATGTGGGAGGAACTGTTATTCCTAAGAGAATAGTGCAGCTTGCATGTGGGGAGGTTAGCTTGGGGGAGGGGGGTGCCCGGGGGGAGGACGCAGGGACCCTCTGGACTCCCCTCCCAGGGCAGCATTCCAGCCCGAGGGCTTCCCACACATCCCGATGGTCAGCAGGCTTCAAGGTGGGACTCTGTTCCAGCCAGAGTATCTGCTGCAAAATCTGCCCCTGGTTAACGCTTTCCTGCGTAAGAACTGAGGCAGGAGGACAGGAGATGTATTATTCAGTGCAGTGAACCTCCTGACACTCAAGGATTTTTTTTTTTGTATTAAAATCAAAGTAGCTGTGAATCTGGGCGACACCCTGCAGAATTCATTAAGATGGACTCCAATAGGGATTTTCCTGCGTTCGATTGGATGGAAGCCCCAGCCTCACGTCCCCAGGTGCTCAGTGGCGGGTCTTAGAAGGGAGCTCACACCACAGTCCACCTCCAGGGGTCAGGAGGAGGGGGCGGGCCGACGGGAAGGGGCGCCATCCCCCGCTGGACGAGCTCAGTCCTTGGGTGACATCCATTACCGCTACTCTTCTAAGGAGAGTGCTTGGAATTTTAAGTAAAACCATTTTTATTCTTCAGTCTGGTTAAGACCTAAGTGATCATTTGCACTGATACATTTTCTTTAGCTACAATCAAAGCCTGCTTAATAGCTTTGGATTTTAATTTTAAAAATATTACTATAAGGGAATTATCCTGGAGGAACATAATAATAGGGGTATAGCTTTTGAGGAATTCTAACAAGATTTTAATAACGGGCAAGCTTTCTTTCATTTTCATTTGGTTTTAATGTTTCAGTGATGTTTTCATTAGTTGTGTCAAGGAAACAAAAAGCGGTTTGTATCACTGGAGCCTCTGACCAGAAAACAGGGGGTGAGAAGCTCGTGCACCGTCACGCGACCCCAGCTGAACCACCTCTCTGCTCCCACCCTCTCGAAGCCACTCTGTCTGACTTGGCTGTTTTACTCCTGGCCCCCGCTTCAGTGTCGAGTGGCTTCTCTCTGGTGTGGTCTTGCAGCAGTGGGTCACGGCCAGGGACACTGGCTTTGCCTTTGGCCAACGTCTTGTTCCAGGAACAGGGGTGTGGCTTCTCTGTTGTAAGCCTCCAAGATGAGCATTCACTCCACGAACACTTAGTGAGCACCTGCTATGTGACACAGGTCCCGTTCCTGGGACACCGCCAAGCAAAACGTCCCCTAACAGAGCTCACACCCTCATGGGGCGATAGAGTCCACCCCCGAAAAAAACAAAGAAATACATAAGGTCCATTTCATATGGGTTGATGGTAAATACAATGGAGAGAAGTTAAATTGGGAGGAGGGTGGAGCTGCCTACTTAAACATGACGCTCTGCTGGTCCTTGCGTGAACTAACCGTCATCATGCGAATCACTCCGTCAGCGTCGTCTCCTTCACTCCTCCCCAGAGCCCGCGCAGGAAAGACGGTTTTTCTCCATCATGAGGAATCTCAGGCTCCAGGGATGAAAAACCCAGGTCGCAGGACCCCCGAGTCAGATTCTCCCGACACCCCGGACAGAGGGTGGTAGGTGACAGCCTTCAAGTGCCAGGTACACTCCCCGCCAAGCATCGTCTCTTGAAGTTAGGCAACGTAAAGCATTAGAAACTTCCTGCGTTGCTCTCTGAGTCTGCACCAAGGAAGCACGATTTGATTTTCTTTATTTCCTTCTAAAGGACAGGGAAAGCGGCAGGTGGCTGTTTTCTGGAGGGGGCCCGTCTGATAGCATAGGATGCCTGTTGACTCAGTCATATATTAGACAAGATGTAGGTGTAGTTTGACTAAAAATGTAGTCCTTTCTCTGCTGGTTTACATAAGCAACTGAAAAAAGTTTACTCTCTTTGTTACAGGAAGGCAGAATTTCAGCAAACTCGGCAAAACACAGCGCAGTTGGGGTAGGGTCTGGGGAGAAACACACGGGCTTATTTCCATCAGAAAGGAGTTTCTTCGTCTCCTGGGTGTAGGTCCTCTGTCATGTATGGGAGGGAGAGAAAACACTCAGCTTTTAATTATCCGTTACTTTTCAAAACACACCCTACTCGTTTCGATGACTTTCGCTTTTGCTGGTCCAGTTGCTGTCTACATCGGTAACAAGGCTGAATGCCAAGAACTATAAATTAGCTTGAGTCACGGTTTAAAGTGTTGGGATTTTTCAGATTGCTTAGGGAGCTGTTCAGACATAACGTGAGGTGTGACTAGACCTAAACTTTCCGTTTCCAAGGAGTGAGGGAGAGGCCACTTCCACACTGTTGCCCTGAATGGTCATTTTGCAGAGGCTGAAAGAGACCGACCTCAGAAATCTTATTTCATATGAACAGTTGGATGAAGAATGGGTTCAACTTGGAAACTAAGAACCAGGCCTGATTGTCAGGGGAACCCTGCCCTCAGTTTACGTGTTTCATGCTGAAGGCAGAAAGCAGAATCAGCTCTTAAACACGGAGAGGTTCTCCTGAGGGTCCTTTCCAGTCCCTGGTTGTATGCGGTGGGTCACTTAACTTACCATCACTCCGTTTTTCCCAGTGAATCACCTTGAGCTTCTCTTTTGACCCAGCAGCCATCCCGGTAAGTTAGTTGCATAAAGATTTGGTCAAAATGAAACGTTTAAGACCTGGGGACATGTTGACTGTTGCATTGTGCTGATGGGCGCGTCCGTGGATGGTGGGGAGACTCCTCCTGGCCTTTCCACCCGACTTTGTGCGTTGGGACGTGACGGAATTTGGGAGGACGAGGCTTGAGTTAGGCTGTTAGCCAGGTGAATCACACCCCAGATTTCACTTCGGTTTGTTTGTTCGTAACTTGCCCGACTCATTGTCTACACATCAGTGGTGTTTGTTCCTCAGACCTCCTTTCTCCTTTCTCCCTGGTTTCGGGCAAGGCTCGGCCTCACGCCCTCCCCCCCCCCGCAGGCCCCGCCCTCACCTCCTGTTCTTTGTGTTTTGCACAGTGCCTTCTCCCAGTGCCTTGCTAGCAGACAATCCCACGCCTTTCGGAAATGCAAAGGAAGTGGTCGCCATCAAGGACTACTGCCCAACCAACTTCACCACCCTGAAGTTCTCCAAGGGGGACCACCTCTACGTCCTGGACACGTCGGGCGGGGAGTGGTGGTACGCACACAACACCACGGAGATGGGCTACATCCCTTCCTCCTACGTGCAGCCCCTGAACTACCGGAACTCCACGCTGAGTGACAGTGGGATGATCGACAATCTTCCAGACAGCCCCGATGAGGCAGCCAAGGCGCTGGATCTGCTCGGAGGGTGGGCAGAAGACAAGAAGGGGCCAAGCAGACCCTACAGTAACAACCCTTTCTGGAACGGGGTCCAGACCAACCCGTTCCTCAATGGGAACGTGCCGGCGATGCCCAGCAGCGTGGACGAGCTGACTCCCAAGAGCACCGTGGACCTGCTCCTCTTCGACACGGGCACGTCCGCTTTCACCGAGTCCAGCTCTGCGACCACCAACAGCATCGGCGACATCTTCGACGAGCTGCCGGCCACACACCGACTCCACACGGAGCCGCCGGTCAAGCGGGACAACCCGTTCTTCCGAAGCAAACGTTCCTACAGCCTGTCGGAACTCTCCGTCCTCCAAGCCAAGTCCGACGCGCCCGCGTCTTCGGGGTTTTTCACAGGCTTGAAATCGCCGGCCCCCGAGCAGTTCCAGAGCCGGGAAGACTTCCGCGCCGCCTGGCTGAGCCACCGGAAGCTGGCCCGGTCTTGCCACGACTTGGACTTGCTGGGCCAGAGTCCCGGGTGGGGCCAGACCCAGGCGGTGGAGACGAACATCGTGTGCAAGCTGGATAGTTCGGGGGGCGCCGTGCAGCTCCCCGACACCAACATCAGCATCCACGTGCCCGAAGGCCACGTGGCCCCAGGGGAGACGCAGCAGATCTCCATGAAGGCCCTGCTGGACCCCCCGCTGGAACTCAACAGCGACAGGTGCAGCAGCGTCAGCCCGGTGCTGGAGGTGAAGCTGAGCACCCTGGAGGTGAAGACCCATCTCATCTTGGAGATGAAGGTTTCAGCCGAGGTGAAAAATGACATTTTCAGCAAAAGCACAGTGGGCCTCCAGTGCCTGAGGAGCGACTCAAAGGAAGGGCCATATGTCCCCATCCCACTCACCTACAGCTACGGGGACACGGTCCAGGTCCAGCTGGACAACCTGGAGCCCTGCATGTATCTGGCCATCGTTGCCCACGGCCCGAACATCCTCTACCCTTCCACGGTCTGGGACTTCATCCATAAAAAAGTCACCGTGGGTCTCTATGGCCCCAAACACATTCACCCATCCTTCAAGACAGTGGTGACCATTTTTGGGCATGATTGTGCCCCCAAGACGCTACTGGTCAGCGAGGTCACCCGCCAGGCCCCGAGCCCTGCCCCAGTGGCGCTGCAGCTCTGGGGCAAGCACCAGTTCGTCTTGTCCCGGCCCCAGGATCTCCAGGTCTGCATGTTCTCCAACATGACCAACTACGAGGTCAGAGCCAGTGAGCAGGCCAAAGCTGTGCGCGGGTTCCAGGTGAAGCTGGGCAAGGTCAGCCGCCTCATCTTCCCCATCACCTGCCAGAACCCTGGCGAGCTCTCCGACTTCACCTTGAGGGTGCAGGTGAAAGACGACCAGGAGGCCATCCTGACCCAGTTTTGCGTCCAGACGCCCCAGCCCCCTCCAAAAAGTGCCATCAAGCCATCCGGGCAGAGACGGTTTCTCAAGAAGAACGAAGTCGGCAAGATCATTCTGTCCCCGTTCGCCGCCACCACCAAGTACCCGACTTTCCAGGACCGCCCCGTGTCCAGCCTCAAGTTCGGCAAGTTACTCAAGACGGTGGTGCGGCAGAGCAAGAACCACTACCTGCTGGAGTACAAGAAGGGCGACACCATCGCCCTGCTCAGCGAGGAGAAGGTCCGGCTGAAGGGCCAGCTGTGGACCAAGGAGTGGTACATCGGCTACCACCAGGGCCGGGTGGGCCTCGTGCACGCCAAGAACGTGCTCGTGGTGGGCAAGGCCCGGCCCAGCCTCCTCTCCGGGCCCGAGCTGAGCACGTCGGTGCTGCTGGAGCAGATCCTGCGACCCTGCAAGTTCCTCACCTACATCTACGCCTCGGTGCGCACGCTGCTCATGGAGAACGTCAGCAGCTGGCGCTCCTTCGCCGACGCCCTGGGCTACGGCGACCTGCCGCTCACCTGCTTCTGCCGCGCCGAGCTGGACAGCGAGCCCGAGCGCGTGGCGTCCGTTCTGGAGAAGCTGAAGGAGGACTGTAACAACACGGAGAACAAGGACCGCAAGTCCTTCCAGAAGGAGCTCATGATGGTGAGTGCCCGGCGGGGCTGGGACTCGCGGCGCCGTCCCCTTTCCCCGACACGCGTGGGCTCGGGCCTGGAGTCGTGAGTCAGTGGACCAGTGTCAGGGCTCCCCTCCGCTCCCCGAGACTCGCGGACAGGGTTTGAAGCCTGCACCTGGACACAGGCATTTACGGGGGGCCAGGTGGGGCCCCCAAACCACTCAGACCCACCGCGCAAGGGTGGTTCAGGTCTCTTCGCGCTGAACTGGTGAGCTCTGGGGTTTCAGAATGGATCTCCGTACGCCTGGTGCGGGTCGCGGTGCAAGGGGCACCCGTGCTCCACCCGCCGCAGGTTAGCGCTCGCGGGAGAAGACCTCTACTTTCATCACATTCCCAACGGGATCTGTGCCTCGGAAGTTTTGTGAACCACCGCCCCAGGGTCTGACTTCACGTCGAGGTGGGTTCTTCTCTCCAGGCTTCGCTTAAGTGTTCTCCGCTCTCTCAGTGTCGTTTCCTCTTCCTCCTTTGTGGGTGTGTTTGAGTTGGGATGAGGACAGTCTCCACTTTGCCAGCGCAGCTGGGAACTGGAATCCTGAGACATAAGAAGGGGGGCGTTGGAGCCCTGCTGCTGGATACCCCGGCCCACAAGCCACCGGGGGGGGCTCTTGCTGGCCCCTCTCACGGCCTCCAGCAGACCTGAGCTCTGCGCTGGTCCCTTGCCCCGCAGGCAACCCGCTCTTAACTGTTGCTTCAGTTCTGGTGGCCTCAGAGTGGTGACCTTGAAGCTTAGTGTCCTCGGGGCAGCACTGGTTGAATCTGCCCTGTTCTCTTTCGCCTTCTTTCTGTGCTAGAAGCCGACTCAGTCCCTTCCCATCCTCCTGATGTGGACACCGCCCTAGTTTTTGTTCCCGCGGGAAACCCCGTGGCTCGGTCGTAGGCTTTTATTCCTTGTTCCGCCGACTCCAGACAGCCACTTTCGCTCCCAGTTTCTGTAAGGGGTGACCCCAGTGAGCATTTCTGCCACTCCGACTCCCCTCCTCCCCCCACACCAGCCGTCTTTTGTGAGCTGGGGGTGTCTGAGGACGCACAAGTGGACAGAGGCGGACAGCTGGGGCTCATCACTGCACACCCATCCTGGGCTGCACCCTGGAGCTGAGGGCACAGAAGGGAACCAGTCCCCAGGGGTGTGACCCCTGCTGCAGGGAGCATGCACCACAGCCTGGTAGGGAGCAGGGCGTGAAAAAGCCGCCTGGACAGTGGCCCACGGTAATTCAAAGTGCAGGACCTGTGGAGCGGGACGAGAACCAACATTGCCCAGAGCAGGGAGGCAGGAACTGGAAGTGGCAACCAGGAGGTCACTGGGGCATCGCTGATGGCAGCTTCAGTGGGGAGGAAGCAGTTGTCATGACAACAGGGGCCGGGTGGGTGGGGGCAGCTGAAGAACCTACCTTGGCGCTGGGAGGGGCTCCTGCACCCTGAGGACCCAGGGGCTCCCCTTCAGGGCTTGCCCTGCTGGCCCAGCTGTGAAATCAATTCTCGAGCCTTGTGTCCAGCTCGAGCTGCCCCGTCTCCTTGTGGATGGACCTCGCACAGAAGGCAGGGGCGAGCCTGCCGCTGGGACTTTGCATCCACAGTGGAATGATGTTCTTTCATGGAACAGAAACAGTATTGATTGTTCCCCTGTTACAGCTAGAAAACGCTCAAACGGTAATCTAAGAGGTGGCTTTTATTTCCATTTCATCCTCGTTTCTTTTCATCTTTCAGCTCGGGAACTGTCTCCAAGAGCGGGTTTTTCGGGTGGCTTCCTTGGGTAATGGCAGGGGTCAGTGCGCATCTGGGATCCTCTCCCCTCCTAGAGACGAGGAAATGAAACTTGACCTTGGCAGGAACGTTGTGCTGAGACAAGGTCAGATTTGTGGGACAACGTGAAACTGGTTTTGCAGTTTCCCTTCCTCTCTCCCCGGCACTTCTCCTATCTCATCCCGTTGGCTGGCAGATTTGAATGGTTGGCCAAACTTCTAGAAACCACAAGCTGGTTTATCCCGGTGGGTCTGAGAAGTTGCTGAAAACCAGGTGTTCTATCTCCAAGGGCTTACAAATCACCGACCATGTTTCCTATGGCCTAAGGCACTGATTCAGCCTGGCCCCTCTCCAGCCCTGTCACGGCCGGACCACCTCCTCCCCACCACCCGCCTCATTTTGAAGGGAATTTCCTGTTTAGTTATGATTCCTTGATTTGGAAGCAGTGATTAAACGAATTAGAAATGGTGAAGGTTTGGGACAGTGAATCTGCAGGGAGACGGGAAAGAAAAAAGAATTGAGTTGTCAGAAACTAGCACAACATTGTGAACCGACTGTACTTCAACTGAAAAAACAGAAAGGAAAAGCGGAGCTGTCCGTCTTCCCCTGTAAGACCTGGCCCCACCCATCCCACAACACCGGGGACCCATACCTGCCCCCTGCACACCGGTCACTCCGGCCTTTTCTCTGGATCTTGGACACACCCAGCTCGCCCCTGCCTCAGGCCTTTGCACATGCTGTTCCCTCTGCCTGGAACACTCTTCCCCGTTTCACGTGGCAGCTTTTTCTGTCCTTCAGATCCCAGCTCAAATGCCCTCTCGTCCCTCCTGCAGCCCTTGGCAAAGCAGCCTTGTGCCTCTGGGCACCGTGCCTGAGCCTGTGTGATGGTGGCACTGTCCCCACGGCGCTTCCTCGACCCGAAATGGTCTTGTTGACTCACGTTCACGGTTCTCGTCATTACCGTGAACGCGAACTCCAGGAGGGAAAGGACGCCGGCACGCAGCAAACGCTCGGCTATCTGAGGGGTGAATGAGTGAGTGCGGGGGTGCAGGCAGGCTGGGACTGACCTGGACGCGGTCTCACAGGGTCCGTTCCCTTCCCCGCTGTTTCAGTGCGTGTTTTCACCCTCGGAGCTGGTCCGGAGGCATCTCGGGTAAACATATGCTTTCGGCGGTGCCTCTGCTGCCCTTTCTCACCCCCACGGTGTGACCACAGCAGAGACTGCCCTCCGTCCCCGCCCGCCGGCGCTGCAGTAGACGCGTGCCTGTCTGTGGCGGAGAATGGCTATCCAACATGGGCAAGGGCCGAGGGCGCAGAGGAGCACAGAGTGGGGGCAGCCAGAGGCAGGAGAGGCTGGAGGCTGGGCTGGTACAGGATGGCGGTGCGCGGGGCAATGGGATAATGGCATGCAGCTGCTGGGGCCGGATACTGCTTGCGCTTACTCTGTGGGCGCTGACGTGGAGCCGGGGGGCGCCTTCCGTCCACCCCAGGCAGGTGGGAATCCGTGGCCCGCCGGCCCTGCGCCACGTGCACATCGGTGCCAGCCTTCAGAGCCTCCGGGGGCCTGGGGTCAGCACCACTGCCGTGGCTCATCCCCGGTCTTGTTTTGTCAAGAATAAAAATTATAAGTTTATTTTTCTGTTTGTCAAGACAGCAGATGCTGCCTTTTGCTTTGGTACCTGGCAGTCCTGAAGAACAGCAGCAGAAGGTCCCCGGCCCATCTCCCAGAGGCAGCTGCCCTTACGGCCTGGAGTGTAGACTAGGTTAACACCCATTTCATAGGATTTGCCAGGCATCATCTGCATTTCCCCATCAAGTGCATGTGCGGGGCGCTCTGCGCCTGTGTGGCGGCTGCAGCCCTGGCGGGCTGGACGCTGCAGGAACTCAGGCTCCAGGAGGACCAAGATGCCTGGCCTCCCAGTTACCGAGGCTGTTCTGGGGCAGGTCCCGGCCCCTTGGCTCTGCAGGCTTGTCCAGGATCGTCCCAGGACAACACCCTGTGGTCTCCTGGCCCCCGCCAGAGACTCGAGAAGCCATCTCTTGGCTCCATGGCAGCAGGTGTCACTCTGGGGAGAGCAGGGCCTGAGAATGACAGGGTAGCTTTAGAAACCCTGCAGCTGTCGAGCTGCCACGGCAGCGGCTGGGCTGAATGGCCCCTGTGGTGTGTTCACAGCCTCCTCTTTGTGAGCCTTGGGTTTCGGGGTGAGGGAGTGTTATTTTGTTTTAAGAAGGGGGGAGACTGCGGGATATGTTCTGGGCTTTTAGGGCATTAATGCTGCTTCTGATAAACTGCGCGTCTGGGGAAGGGTGTTCTGAGTGGGGTCAAGAGCCCCAGTGGAAAACGTCCTGCTGTGTAATCTGCACCGTGACTTGTGCCCACACTGGGTGAAGGGGAGGATTTGGCTCCTGCTGTAAGACCGCGCCGACTTGGGTGATGGCCATCTCGTGGGGGTGGCGGTGCGGGTGTCTGGAGGGTGGCAGACGGAGCCCTGAGGAACCCGGCTCTCCAAGAACTGGAAGTATTTCCACTCAACAACATGCTTTCGAGGTAAGAAATGGTTCCTGACTTTGTGATTACACCCTCGGCGAGAGGCACCACGTCTGCCCTCCCGGCGGGACCAGAAGCCAGGTGGAGGTGCTAGGGGCAGACTCCCCTGCAGGGCCGAGGCCAGCGCTCCAGGCTGGGCCAGGGGCCACCAGGCACAAAGCCACGGGGCTTGGTGACCAGCTGTCATTGGCAGTGGCGGTGCTTGGACAATTTGAGTCAAGGAGCCGGAGGGAGAGAAGGAAGAGGGGCCGTGGGCTCTCGGAGATGTTCCTCTGACAAAGGGAAAGTTGCCATAGGATGCAAATCAAGGCGGTGGTTGTTTTAAAAGTGAGGTGGGGGTGAAATGAACGCCAAGACCTTGAAAATAACGGGAACTGGGGAGAGGTGGGGCTGGGAAGAAAGGTGTGGAGGGATTCTCTGAGTGAGGAGCAAAACCACCTCGTTCCCCGGAGGAGGAAGAGGAAGCAGGTACCTAGCAGCTATGCATTTAGAAGTTCCTGGGGACTTCCTGCCAGGTGGTCCCCACGCCCGAGGCTGCTGATACGTGGAGGAGCAGGGGGCTGCCCCTCACTTGTTGCCTTGGTGACTGCCCCTTCTGGTGTTTGAACATCTCAGGAGTGGAAGCATGGCTGGAATGAACGCCCAGCAAAACCAAAACAATGGTTTTGTATTTTCGTAAGAGTAGGTTTTCAAATGGGGGCCCAGCTGCCTACCTTTGTAAATGAGGTTTTCCTGGAACGCAGCCGTGCCCCCGCGCCCAGGCGTCATCTGTGCGGTTCTCACACCCACCAGCAGAGCGGGGTCGCTGCAGCAGAGACCCCCTGCCTGCAAAGCCAGAAATGGGTCCTGCCTCGCCCCTTCTAGAACACCTTGGCCACCCTGATTTAAGTCATGATTCACTCAAATCAGTGTGAGTCCAGCTGGAACCAGCGTTGTGCTTTATTCACTTCGTTGGGTATTTTCTGGTGTTACCAGTATGTCCTGGTGTGTGCGCAGACATTAAAGAGGATGCTACAGGGAAAAGGTTCCAGAGCCATGTCCCTTCCCGCTGAACAATTTTCTATTGCTAAGACTTGGTGGGCACCCAAAATGCACCCTTCTGGGAAAAAAATGCATAAACTGCCCCTTGATGATGGTGTGGGCAGTGTCCCAGCTGTGGCCTCTTGGGGCCAGAGAGATGCTTTGAGTTTCTGAGGACCTTTGTGCCTGTCAGGGCCCCCGGGGAGAGAGGAGCTTTGATGGCCCCAGCCAGGAGTACCTGAATCAGATGCAGATGACTCTGAAGTGTTCTGTTGCCATGGAAACGAGGCCACCTGCAAAGCCAGGCAGCTGAGCACACAGACCTGGGCTCGCTTTGTGTGCGTGCGCTGAGCAGCTGTGAGGAAGGCCGGGTGGGAACATCGTCACCGGTGGTCGGCCCGACGCTTTCTCAGGACAGCAGGCGTAGCTGGAGGGGACCCTGCCTGCCTCGGTGTGTCTGGGCTCAATCCACACCATATCAAAGAATTTAAATCCAAAATTCTATCAGCTTATCACACCTCTCTGCCCCGTAACGTAGACACACGTATATCCTCTTTCTGCAGCACACATCGAGTAAACGTCCCGTTTCACTTGAAGATATCAAAGTTCAAATTGATCAAGTCCCAGGGTGGCCACGTGCTCTTCGGGCTGAGCAGGGACTTGGGCGGGGCTCTGTCCCGTTGCCTCCTTCCCGGCTGACAGGCATTTCTTTCCCTCCTGAGTCCCTGTCCCTCCCTAGTGAGTGATCCCTGTCCTGGAGACCTACTGGAGAGCGCTTTCCTGCAGCTTTGACGAGGGAGCAGCCCCGTGGATTCAGGAGGTCGCTTCTCGATGGTCTGCCCTCCGTTTCAGCCTTAGGGCTCATCCTCCCTCCTCACAGGGCTTTCACGTGTGTCCAGAAACTCAGAGGCCCAGACTCGGTCTGAGCTCCAGGCCTGAGCCCACCACCCGCGTCTCTCCTGCTCCGTCCGCTGATGTCCTGTGGTCCGGCCCTGAGCCCCAGGCCACGCTGGCCGTCCTGGTGAGGGGCATCACCTCTCCACTTGCCCCAGTCGGGGTGGGGACGGATGGACAGCTGTCCTCCCGCCCACCCTGCAGGTCAGCGTGCTGGAGCTGCTGCGACAAAGTGCCGCAAACTAAAAGGCTCAAAGCAACAGCAGTTTATCCCCCGCAGTTCTGGGGCGGTCAGCAAGGCCGGTTCCTTCTGGAGGCTCTGCGGGAGAATCTGACCCCCGCCTCTCCCAGCTCCTGGCTGCTCCAGGGGTGTGGCTGCATCACTCGTCTCTGCCTCCATCCTTACGCAGACTTCTTCCCTCTGTCTCTGAGTCTCTATTTTTCTCCTTATAAGGACGCCAGTCACTGGATGAGAGGCCCACCCTAATCCAGTGCAGCCTCAGTTTAGCTCAGTGCATCTGCAGAGACCACCCTTCTGCACATGGTGAGGTTCCCAGAGGACAGGAATTGGGAAGTGGGGGGACCCAGTCCGCCCTGCAAATCACAGTTTCTGCCGCACCTGAGTCGCAGAGGTGCTGCGCCCAGGCCTCGCGGTGTTTAGGGTCCAAGTGCGCAGCCTCTGCGGTGCTGGCTCCACGGGGAGCCAGAGCCTGCCCTCCTCGGTCCTGCCTCACACCCGCTCCTTCCTCCTCAGGCCCTACTGAAGATGGACTGCCAGGGCCTGGTGGTCAGGCTCATCCAGGACTTCGTGCTCCTGACCACAGCGGTCGAGGTGGCGCAGCGCTGGAGGGAGCTGGCTGAGAAGCTGGCCAAGGTGTCCAAGCAGCAGATGGATGCGTATGAGTCCCCCCACCGGGACAGGAACGGGGTCGTGGACAGCGAGGTGAGCGGAGCTGCCCTTCCCTCAACCTGTAACATGTGCTAACTCTATCTGCTTTGGAGCGGGTTGATGGGGACACAGGAGGTCACAAGTGCACGGGCGCCTGTGCCGCGGCACGCAGTCGGCCCACGCCGAGCGGGAGGGAGCAAGTCTCAGCCTCTCTGGGAATCCTTCATGGTGAACCAGGCCCTGGTGAGGGCACGGCCACTGTTTGGAACAGCAGGAGTGGCACTGCCAGTCCGTCACTGATTCCGATCTTTAACTACATTCAGTCACACCGAGCAATGCCTGACGGAGCCCCCGATGGTCGGCTCTGGCTGGGGACGCCCCGGCGCCGTGGTGGGTGCATCCCGGGGAGATGGCGCAGCTCTAACCCGGTCTGGACGGGTTCCTGCGCAGAGTCTCTGTTTCCTCACTTTGTTTCTGGAGGTTGCTTGCAGCTTCTGGAAAGACACTCAGGCTTGCAAGACCTTAGGAAGCACGAATTCCCAAGAGTAAGGGCATCTCTTGTTAATGTGACAAGTCTGTAAATAAATGGAAAGCACTACTGGGGTTATAAGGGAAGAGAGGCCCTTTCTGCCTGGTCAGCACTTACTACGACGCACCTGCTCGCACACCAGGTGCCTTCTTCCCTCCGAAACGAGCCGGCAGGTGGGGCAGAGCCGGCTGCCCCGCTGCTCTGGGTTTGCTTCACTCTTAAAGAGTTCCATCAACAACGGACACAGGCCCTGGGGTCCGGCCCCTCACTTTCCCCTAACCTCTTCTCTCCTCTCCCTCTTTTGGTTTTGGACCTCTCCGTCATCCAGGCCATGTGGAAACCTGCGTACGACTTTCTACTCACCTGGAGCCACCAGGTCGGGGACAGCTACCGGGATGTCATCCAGGAGCTGCACCTGGGCCTGGACAAGATGAAAAACCCAATCACCAAGCGCTGGAAACACCTCACGGGAACCCTGATCCTGGTGAACTCCCTGGACATCTTGCGAGCAGCCGCCTTCAGTCCTGTGGACCATGACCATGACGACTTTGTGATTTGAGGGGGCTCATGCTCTCCGTCTGTCCTGGCTGCCCGCATGGTCACACGGAGCTGGGGAGGGAGGACGGGTCAGCTGCTCAGACAGCTCCAGGGCCCCTCCCGGCTGGACGCACCCCCCAGGACCAAGCACACGCCATGCTCCACCGCCTCCTGGAACACGGGGGAGCCTGAAGGGAATTTCTGCTGCAGGTTGTTGCCAATCAAATAGCTTTCTATTTGTTAAATATAAATTTAAAATCACTTTTTTTTTAAAGTATGGGGGGTGGGGGCAAATGAGAAAGGTGGTATCTAATTTTTTAATGGACCATAAAGGTTAAAAAAAAACACATAATGGGACAGATGCTGTTGAGGTTTTTATGTCATATAAAGACCTTTTTAAATTATGTTACAGATGTATATATGTATTTAAGGCCATGAGGGTGTTTCTGATTGCTGGACACACTTTGCATTTCAACACTTAGCGCAGAAAGACACTCATCCAGGTGTTGGACCTTCTTTGCTGTGTACTTGTAAAAAGGAAATCAAATAGGAAACGCGGTGTTTCAGTGAGTGAGTATAGTCGATGCCCGTTCTTTCTGACACTGGTCCTGCTCTTCCCTCTTACCATGACCTTGCGTACCTTTGCCTCGTGTTGCAGTAAAGGCTCAGCCACAGCACCTGGGAAGCTTTTCTGAGCTTTAGCGGCAGAGTGGAATCCAGCATGAGCGGCTGGATGCCCTTGAGATGAAGAGCATCAGCAGTCGGCGGCTTCCGCAGCCCCTGCCCGTGTGCAGTTTGTCCTGCAGAAGAGCTCCACCGTGGAGACCAAGGTGGTCCCTGCAGCTCTGAGAGGCCAATGTCACCCTCCTCCCTGGGTGGAGGGGGTCCCTCCTGCAGAGCTTGGAGCCACTCCTCTGGGTGTGAAGGAAACATCACCACAAGCATCACACCCCACACTGGTGTCCAGAGGTGCCTGCTGTCCTCTGCCAAACTCTACTTCCTTCCACCTAAAATGTAACCCTGCTCCCCTCCTGGTGTGCCCATCTCTCGTTGGAAATAAATAGCATAGGGAAATTTTTTTTTTAATATGAAGATTATGTGAGTGGGATGGACGTTTTCTGAAATTGAAAATGTTTCCCACATAAAACCTGGGATTTGGCCGACTGTCGCATCGCTACCCTTCATGGTTGCAGATCAACTTGCGAGGCTGCATCCCAAGGCTGTTGCATCATCTCAGAAATGGGTGAGGGGCAGGGTTAAGACACATCTGGCAGGTCAGTCCAGCTGATGTCCAAGAATGTGGTCAGGACACGCACTGTGTTTAGATGAGTCATGTCGGGCATCTGGGATTCCTGAATCTCACTGACTCAATCTGCTTTCTGGAAACATGTTAATTACTTAGTATAATCAGCGTAAATCTTTTCTTGGGCTAAAACGTTCTTATATATCTATTGGTTCAGATACTGAAATCCAACTGGCTAAAAAACAACAACAAAACACTGCATATTTTATGCTGCAAGAACCAAGACACACAGTTCCCCGATCATCACACGAAACAACCTTAAATTCTGCTTCCTAACTCTCCACCTTCCGTCTTCCCAGAGAGCATCTCTCACTTTTCCCCAAAGAAGAAATAAAACCCGTCGCACCTTAAATATGGAGATTTTTTTCCTCAGGGGCTTTAAATAGTTTCCTATGCAACATGTGTTGTAGCACAAATTAAATTCTACAAAGTTGCAGTAAATTTTCTTTGGATATTTTAACCTGTTAAGTGTGTGTGTGTTTTTCTGTACCCACTGGGCTTTAAATAAAACAAAAGCAAAATCTCCTGTAAGTATCTGTGTGTGGAACGATGGCCCCCTCCCCCACACAGTAACCCCTGGAGGACAGCGTGACAGCTGGCACAGCGGGCATCTAGTTTCTTGCTATTAACTTAATTGCTCTTGGAATATAGTGTCTCAGTCATCACCAGAGGGAATCAGTGTTGCCCAAAGTCCCCAAAGGGTACAAGTGGATAGCTTGCCTTTTTCTTGGACCTGGGCACCTGGACCCGGCAATCCCAAACCCACAGTACACAGTTGAGGACGGAGCCATCTGTGTCTCAGGGATGGTCATCAGGCACTAGTTGGAGCATGCAGGACTCCCACGGACCCTGTCATCACTTGTCCTAGGAATACCGTGTGGTCCAGGAAGAACAGGATGGGGATCTGCTGATGGAGACCAGCCCCGCCTGGAGGTGACGGGGAAGAGTGGGGCTAAGGAAAGCCTTGAGAAATGACTTTAATCTAAGGTCAAGGGCTGAGTAGGCACCACCGAGCCCAAGGCCAGGCCAGGCCTGGGGAACAAGGTGTCTGCAGCATTGAGAGAGGGTGCAGGGACGACAAGAAGCTGACCCTTCCCAGGGCCCTGGGGTGTGCTGAGCAAGCAAGAACCTCTGAGTGGTCCTCGACCCTCCATGCTTGTCAGTTCTAGCCCACCAGCCACATCCTCACTCAGATTTTGCAGCTGAGGAAGGGCTCGGTGCAGTCCCTGACCTATACGGCAGAGGAGATTCTAACCCAGGACTGCGTAACGAAGTGCCACATACAGGGAAGCATTGCTTCTAGAAAGACGCTATTTCCAAATAAGGTCACGTTCACAGGTTAGGGGGATGGGACTTCGGCAGATCTATTCAAAGGGCTGAGTCCAGCTCACAGCACTGCCTCCTACACGACAGCCTTTGGATGAGGCTTGCTTGGGAGAATGGGGAAGGAGTCCAGTTTGATCTGTCTCAGAACTGTGCCCAATTTAATGCAAAAGCCAGAGGGGGCAGAGGGGGTAAATCTTTAAAAGGGAAAACTATTTCAGAGGGGACCTGTTAGTCTCACCAAAACCCACTTTCTTCCTGAGCAAACAGCTAAGGTGTTTCCCACTCTCTCTTGCAAGTAGGTGCGACCAAGTGACTCCCTCTGGTGACCGGGATGGGAGTGGAAGTGATCCAGGCGGCCACAGGCCTGGCCCATAGAACCCTCCACTCTCCTAATTGAACAGAAAAAACTCCAGGGACGTAAAGGTGAGGGAGAGTCAAGACTGCAGGACCCAGGTCCCCGGGGACCCCCTCAAAGGCTTTCTGTCCGGCAACTAGAGTTAGCTGTCGGGCCACTGGGGCTGCAAGGGTGACGTGTTACCGCAGCCCTGTTACCTTAATCCTAGGGTCGCTGTTCCCAGATGGCTAACGGACAAGCTGGAGGGGCCAGGGGTTTGCTCTTAAAAGGGAAAGGTCCCCACCACGTCTGGATGATGTCAGGTCCAGATTTGGAGAACTCAGTCACACTCTTTTTTCTTGGCTGGAGCACATCCAGAATTGGTCATTACGAATCTGAATATGGACTTTTGTGTGTTAACTGAATATTTTCTAGGCTGGTCCAAGAAGCTCAGTTAAAATTCCAGTCATTGACTGATGCTGGTTTGGACACTGAAAATGGTAATAAATAATTTGCATAGAAAGTCATGGTTTTGGTGGTGTTTTTGAGGACCAAATATTCAGAAGAAAGATTTAGTTGAAAAAAAAAAAAAAGCTGTGCTCTAATTTCCCAGAAAAGGGCAGTTTTGTCTGTGATCAATCCCTGTCTTTTCTTTACCCAACAGGCAGTCATACCAGATGGTGCAGGCGCCAAATCGTTTACTTTGTGATCACAGAGCCCCCACCCTTCCAAGGAGTCTCAGGTGTCCTGGCCGCAACTACCAAGCCAGCCTTGGCCGTGGGCCCCTCCCCTCCAGGGGCCACCAGATCCCACCAGCCTGGAGTAGGTCTCTCAACCATTCCTACCACCGGGGCCGAACTTAATGACCTCTGATTCGTCCCTTTGCCCTCACTCCTTTTTATGGCCAAGCTATTCCAACAGCATCCCAGCTGGTCCACTTGCCCACTAACTCACTCTCCTCCCCCACCCACGGGATACAGAGGAGAACCCAGAGACCCTCCTGCTCCTGCTACTCGGTCAGCTCTGGGCTCCCCACAGCCCCGGCTGAGCCTCCCACACCCCAGCTGCACAGCTCCCTCTCAACTCCTCTCTCCTTCTCCAACCCCCCTGCTTTTGAGCTCTTCTCCAGCCAAAACACCTGTCCTTCCTTCTGCAGCCACATGAGCTCCTTGATGGTAGCAGCCGTGTCTAAACTCGCCTCTGAGTCCCTGGGGCCTGGGGCAATAAATGTTTGTTGCATGAGGGAATTGCCCGTATGTCTGCAATGGAAATGCATGTCAGAATGTGGGTGGCTTTGGCTATTGGAGTGGATAGAGTGGGCTTTGTGCTGAGTTTCCAGCCAATGTGAAAAAACAGCAAAATCTTGTCCAGCGATGAACGCATCAAATCCAGCGCAGGTTTTAAAGAGTTCGAAGGGGACGGGCCGGCAGGGACGGTACTCCAGGACGTGCACACCAAAGTGATGACACGCCCCAACTGTGTTTCCTGGCGCAAGGGAAGTGCTGTCGATTTGGGCCATGATTTTTGCTGTAATAAAATTCGGTTTTAGGTAAAATAGATAGAAATGGCCTCACCCTAAATAGTCTAGTAACCTGAATTTGGGGGAGAAGGAATGTCACCAAGTGCGCAGCCTTTGCTGAGCACCTGTGGTCCAGGAAGAGCTTGTCCTGTTTGACCCTTGGGGCCACCGTGGTTTCACAGATGAGGAAACTGAGACTCAAGGAGAGTGAACAGACCCAGCTGGCACAGGGACCGATGCCAAGTTCTGTCCACCTCCAGCCGTGCCCTCGCCTCGGGCCACATCAGAGACAGAGCGTTAGAAACCAGAAATGGCATAAAAGCCACCGCCTGAGAAGCAGGTGCCCAAAGCCAGAGCCGGGGGAGTTCCCCTGATAGCAGGGCTGCGGGCTGGGGTCGGGCGGGTGTCCCCACTCCACCCGCACAGACCTCGGCCGGGACGTGTGTGCCTGCTGGGCGTTAGTATTGTGGCCATTTCCCTCAAATCTGAAGTATTTAAAATATTTGCACTTAACCAAAGGTTTCCTTTGGGGGAGGGGATTTCAGCTTTATTGAGGTACAACGGGCATCTAAACAAAGTTTTCCTTTTTTAAGACTCAGTCCTTTCTACCCAAGAGCAATGCAATGTGCTTAATGCTGCTGATCCTAGAGGACCACTTAAAACGGGGAAGGTGGTCAATGTCATGTTCATTTCACCAGCATTTTTTAATGTGAAAAAAAGGTTATAACCACAGTTCCCCGTACCCCCTGGGTCTAGTTATGAAAACTAGGGAGTGAGAGTCAGGGCTTTTAACTCTTTGTGTCATGACCCCTTGGCGGTTTGATGAAGCCTGGAGGTTCATCAGAGTCACATAAATGTTTAAAATAATGTGCATGCTTGCAGGACCTGGAGTCACAAGTAAAAGCAGTTACTCACATATAGTCACCCAGAGGGTTTTGAAAAATCATGATGCCGTCATAGCTGAGCTTCTCCGTCCATCAGGTGACAGTGTCGGGGGGCAGCCCTTGGATCCACCGCAGCTCCGCAGAGTGATGAGGGTTTTGATAGCCGCTGTGGTAACGGACACAGGAACAGCTGAGGTTTAGGAATTGTCGGCAAAACCACAAGGATTTCTGATATTAGAGAGGTTCATTGTCTCCATGCATGTGCTTGCATGTGCTTGAAGAAAATGTTAATGTTCAGATGGAAGTTAATGAAAATCTAAATGCAATCTCCCTTATTAAAAAAAAAAACTCAACATAAGGAGACTGACTCACCCAGATTTGCTACACCTGTTGTTTAAAATGCTTGTATTAATATTTTCTGCTCCAGGTTGGCAAGAATGGTGTTTTTAAAGCTTTTTCCTCTGAGCCAACATTCTACCTCATGGGGAGAAGGGAAACATGAAGAAATTTCAGTTCAGCAACTTGGCTGCTTGTGTCTATGACTTTTTAAACATCGAAAGTCATTTTTCTCAGTTTTCTATTTCAGCAGGTTTACTTTTTGAAAGAGGATCTGTATATTCATGTCATACGCATATAGCACAACTTTCAATGCAGTTTTCACTCTGGGAGCAGGAAGAGACCACCAAGGCTGAGGGGGCCGCAGGAGCCCCAGGGGGGTCGACAGGCCGCTCATCGGTGTCTGCGGTCTGGATGCTGTCACGGGCACACGGCGGGTCAAGGGAGACCCAATAGGGGAGAGGAGCCAGTGTCCGGCCCTCCAGGAGTTAGTCTCCCGGGACAGAAGATCCAGCTCCAGGGCCAGATATTCAAACCTCAAGGGAGACTGAGTCACAGTCATGAGGGTGGACCAAGAGAGAATTTGGGAAAGCAGGGAGCCCGTTGGGTGAAGGCACTTGGAATGAGAGTATTGCATATTCCCGGGTCCTGAGAGGAGACATCCTGAGAAGATGCTGGAAGGGCAGGGGAGGGCAGTTACTAAGAGATACACGCCCACGTCTATCCCTTTGACGGTTAAGGCTTCTGAGTCGACTCCCTTTCATTTTGTCTCCTCTCTCCAGGCTCCACCTCAGCCCTGGCCACCGTCGTCTCTGCCTGTACCTGCAACTCCAGCCTTGTTCTCTCAGCTCACCCACACGGCCCCCAGAATGGTCCTCGTGAGACAGAGCCCCATGCACCTCACTGCCTGCTCCACCCCCACCCCACGAGGTCCCCCCACATGGCTGAGAGCAGGTGGACCAGCGCACAGGTTACTGTCACCCCAATGATGCTTCCACCTGTCCTCACAAAATGAGAAGACTGAGGGAGGTGCCCTGAGGATGGTCATGAAAGCCAAATTTACGGAAAGCAAATGACTGTTCCCGGATCCTGAGTTTAAGCCCTTCATTTCTTTTTGGTGCA